TGCTTCAAGGCAACACTACAGCTCGGTCCCAAGTCTTGCCTTGCCACAGTCCACGTCCATGAGGGCATCCAAACCCCTCTCTTGTCATGTGGCCATTGTCAGGACTTGGCCATCGTCTCATCCGAGTTCCCAAAGCCCATCCTCGCCGTGACACACCTCAACAGGTGTGCAGAGATACCTGTTTCAGCCATGACCACACCTGCTGCCGCCCGGGAGTTCTTTTTTCGTCAGTTCAGCGACGTCCTTGTCTCCAAGCCCGACCTCCAGAAGACGCCGCTCAAGAAGATGACAGGCCCCCCGATGAGAATCCACCTCAAGCCTGGCGCGACGCCTTTCGCCATCCACACACCCAGGCCTATCCCCTTTGCCATACGGGACAAGGTGAAGGCGGAGCTCGATTCTCTGGTGCAGCAGGGGATCATCAGACACGCCGGTGAGGAGCCCTCCGAGTGGTGCCACCCTATGGTCTTGGCACCCAAGCCTGTAGGTGTTCGCATCACAGTGGACCTCACCCATCTCAACTCGCAGGTCTCCCGTCCCGCCCATCCATCGCCTACGCCCATCCAAGCAGTCCGCAGCGTCACCCCGTCTGCAAAGTTCTTTACCACGGCGGATGCACTACATGGGTACTGGCAAGTCGACCTGGCGGAAGAAGATCGCCACCTCACTACATTCATCACGCCCTACGGCCGCTTCCAACACTGCCGCGGACCCATGGGCTTCGCAGCAACGGGGGATGCGTACTGCCTCCGTGGGGATATGGCTCTGCAGGGTGTCACCAACTGCGTGAAGGTCGTAGATGACATCCTGCTCTTCGACGACGATCTCCCGGCCCACTTGAACCGAGTTCATCTGATGCTCACAAGATGCCGTGCCCATGGTATCACCCTGAACAAAGATAAATTTGTGGTCGCCGCCCCCCAAGTTAACTACTGCGGCTACAACATCTCGCCAGAGGGGATCTCAGCTGATGAGGAGAAGGTCAAGGCCATCAGGGACTTCCCTACTCCAGCGAACCTGACCGACCTTCGCTCATTTATGGGCCTGGTAAATCAGCTGGCCGACTTCTCCCCTAAAATCGCCACATCAGCCCAACCTCTACGCCCCCTCATGAGCCCCAAGCGCTCTTTCCTCTGGACTCCTGACCACGACCTAGCGTTCAGGAATGTTAAGAAGGCGTTGCTGTCACCACCAGTCCTGGCACCCTTCGACCCGTCCTTACCAGTGGTCCTCCAGACCGACGCCTCCCGTCTATACGGCCTCGGATATGCCCTCCTTCAAGACCACGGCCAGGGTAGACTGCGCTTAGTTCAGTGTGGCTCCAGGTTTTTGACGGACACGGAGACCAGATACGCCACCATCGAACTAGAGATGCTGGCAGTCGCCTGGGCTATGGCCAAGTGCCGCCTTTACCTGTTCGGCCTTGGGCATTTCACCCTCATGACGGACCATCGCCCGCTCATACCCATCCTCAATCACTACACGTTGGACGCCATCGAAAATCCTCGCCTCCAACGTCTCAAAGAGAAGACCGCCCCTTACGTCTTTACAGCTGTGTGGCGCGCCGGGAAGCTTCTGTGCATACCAGACGCCCTCTCCCGAGCCCCTGTTAGTCGCCCCACACCTGAAGATGAAGTCGACTGTACCACGGCCGCTGCTCACGTTCGGTCTTTAGTGACACACACAGCCACCTCTCTTGCTGACAAGACGACGACGACGCCCCCCATCGAAGACGATAGGACTCTCCAGGAGCTTCGCATCGCCGCCGCTCAAGACCCGGCATACGTCCAACTCCTCGACTACGTCTCCGCTGGATTCCCCACCAACCGCTACGACATTCACGCCTCCGCCCTCCCCTTCTGGAAGCTAAGGGATAGCCTCTATGCGGACGGAGAGCTGGTGTTGTACGGCCCCAGGATCGTCGTTCCCGCTGCCCTCCGCCGGCGCACCTTATCCCGCCTCCATGACAGCCACCGCGGCGTTGAAGCCACCAGGCGCAGAGCCCGTCAGACCGTCTTCTGGCCTGGTATTGACGCCGACATTAAGAGCACGGTTGAGGCCTGTGAGCCTTGCCAGCAACTCCAGCCCAGCCAGCAACAAGAGCCGTACCTGTGCAATGACCTCCCAAAGCGGCCCTTTGAGTCCGTGTCCGCCGACTTCTTTAATGTGGCCGGAAAGTCTTTCCTGGTGGTCGCCGACAGGCTCTCTGGATGGCCCGTGGTAGTTCCCTGTGGTCGGGACACCACCTCTTCCAGGGTCATCCGGATGTTTTGTTGCTTCTTCCGGGAAGTCGGAGTGCCTCTCCGCCTCCGAACCGACGGTGGGCCCCCGTTCAATAGCCACGAGTTCAAGAGCTTCGCCGAACGCTGGGGCGTCCACCACATCGTCACCTCCCCTCATTACCCGCAGGCGAATGGCCACGCCGAGGCAGCGGTAAAGTCCGTAAAATACCTCATCCTCAAGACAGCACCGACGGGGAACCTGGACTGCGAGGAGTTCGACAGGGGCCTACTGGAACTCCGTAACACCCCTACCCCTGCCGGACGCTCTCCTGCCCAGGTGTTGTATGGCCGCCCCCTTCGTACTTGTGTGCCTGCCCACCCCCAGTCCTTCTTAGATGAATGGCAGATCAAGGCGGACGAGTGTGACCGCCGTGAGGCTGCCCGGATGGCCCAAGTGACAAGCCACTATGACGCCCACGCCCGCCCCCTTCCCAGGTTGACCGTCGGCCAGCAAGTACGAATCCAGGACCCGACGTCACACCGCTGGGACAAGGTCGGGGTCGTCATGGGCCGTGGCGAGTCTCGTTCGTACCAAGTCCGCCTCCCCAGTGGTCGTGTGTGGTGGCGAAACAGACGCCATCTCCGCCCAGTGCCATCCTCTAGTGACGAACCTTCCTCCCCGTCCCCTGTGTCCCCTTGCCCAGACCAGGAACGAAGGTCGTCAGTTGATCCTCCCATTGTCCCTCGCCGCTCCCCCCGACTCATGGGAAAAGAGTCCGTAGCCGCTCGAGATTGCACTACGAGCGTAAAGGGGGAGGGAGGTGTATAGATATGTACATACCAAGATATGTGAACACGCCTGACGCCAAGACTCTGTTACCATTCATTGTACCATTTATTCACATGTCTGTATTACTACATATTATTATAGCATGTCTGATATCGATGCTTATGTCTAATGCCTATGTTCATTTACTATGTCCCGATGTACTATGTCTGTACCGCGCTAGTCGAGTAATTAGAAGACCCCATTTATTGTCCTAGGAATGTCTAGCAACTCCCCTTGCCTAGCTAGCTAATTTCCCTCAGATCGGCTTCGGCCTGCCTACGACGAGGAGTTCCTTGTGCTGGCTCCTGTTCCTGTACCGGTTGGCTATCACGCCAAGTCTTGTACCACTTGTTGAATATATCTACTGCTCGTGCCCTGGAGTTTCAAGAACCTTGTCTAGGATTACATCCACTACACTTACCTCATTCTCCCCACACCTTCCTCCACCTCTTACCTCAGTCTCCCCTCACCTTCCTTCACCTCTTACCTCACTCTCCCTTCACCTTCCACCACCTCTTAACTCACTCTCCCCTCACCTTCCACCACCTCTTACCTCATTATCCCCTCACCTTCCTCCACCTCTTACTTCACTCTCCCCTTACCCATAAGGTTTCACCCTCGGCCCATTAATCACTAACTCACTGGATAACATTATCTTCTCCCTAATACAATTCGGTAGCAGATACAAACAATACAATATTAGTTTACGTATAACAAACTATTTTTTTAATATTTACTAGTGTTTGGTTAGATTAAGTTAGGTTAGGGTTGGCTAGCTTATGTTTGGTTAGTGTACTGTTCCAATATATAGTCATTGGAGTGTGTGTACTAGTATATGTGTGAGATGGTGTAGCCTATCTGCGATAATTCCTGTTCTGTACATTTCAGGTATTGGTGCCTTCTGTATTTAAACAATAAACTTCAACAAAATCAAACAGTATATTACTGACCGACGGTGCATACAGTAAATTGGCGACGAGGATGAAGAACATACATCTATTCACAACATGGCCACTGCTATACCAACACTACAACCTCTAGAGCTAGAGGAGACTGACCAAACACAAGCATGGACTGACTGGATAGAGCATGCTGAAGATGCCTTCATTGCATTCAACATAACTGAAGATGCCAAAAGACTAGCACTCATCAGATTCAATGGAGGAAAGAAACTGAAGGAAATCATGAAGACATTGCGTCCAGCGATACCTACAGACCAAACAGAGCCAACGTACAAAACAATGAGAATAGCATTTGATGAATACTTCAGTGAGAAAACAAACGAAGTATTTGAACGACACAAGTACCGGATGCTGGCGCAGGAGGTCGGGGAAAGTACACACAATTACGTAACCCGCGTATGTACACAAAGGACCAAGTGCATCGACCAGTTGACGGAGAAATTTACTTCACATAAAATGCGTCGTGCATACGTGAAGGAGACAGACAACAGTACAGAAAGCTCTACAAATCGCTTACACTTATGAATCAACTGAAGCGCAAGCTAGCCAGATGGAGCAAGGTGAAGAAGGCACCAATGTGGACAAGGTAAACACAAGATACAAACAACAACAGCAGCGGGACTGGGAAAGCAATCGAAGACAACAAAGTAAGGATATGCCACGCGACCCAAAACTGAACTGTCTCGGGTGTAATGGCACTGGCCATCGACATGGACAGAGACAATGTCCTGCATTTGGAAAAAATTGCAATTACTGTGTAATCGTCAACCACTTTGCCACCGCGTGCAGAAAAAAACATAACCGACAAGAGATGGTCAGACAACTGACGGAGGACAGTTCGACGGGTAACGACGACAATCACGTACACCAGGTGTCGTCCAAGAGCACAAAAGAATCTGACGATGGCCATACCTATGTGTTCAGAGTGACATCAGACGACACTGCAGAGGAAAAGGTGATGATACAGTAGAAGACGTACCAGTCGGAATGTTGATTGACTCAGGGGCAAACGTCAATCTAATTGACGAGAGCACATTCGACCACATCATCAAAATACGACCGAACATAGTACTCAAGGAAACGAATATCCAACCTAAAGCGTATGGAAACATTCCCATCCCCCTCCGAGGAGAGTTCTTTGCAACACTGACAAATGGATCGAAGGGAGTCGCACACAAAATCCTGGTAACAACAGCAAAACAGGGAGGGAATATTCTGAGCAAGCGAGCCAGCTTGGATCTTGGCCTTCTCAGTATCCACCAGAATAACCGGATTACGACCAGTGAGATGCCTTCATCAACCCGGAGGATACTGGAACTACATCTACCAGCGCTGAATGGACTGGGGAGAATGAGAAACTTCCAACTCAAGCTCGACATCGACCCAAATGTCAAACCCGTCGCACAGTCACCTCGGAGAGGACCATTTCACATTCGAGGTTGCCGTTGAACAGAAGATACAAGAAATGTTAGATAATGATATCATCGAGAGCGTGGAAGGCCCTACACCATGGGTGTCCCCATTGGTGACTGCTCCAAAACCAGATGGAGATATCAGGATATGCGCAGACCTCCGCATAGCAAACAAAGCGGTGAAACGCATACGCCATCCTATATCAACCGTGGAACAACAACTCAGCGAAATTAACGGGGCCACGAAATTCTACAAAATCGACCTAAACTCATACTATCATCAGATCGAGCTAACCCCCGAATCGAGAGACATAACAACATTCTCGTGCGACTCCGGTATCTAAAGGTACAAGGTGTTAGTCATGGGCATTGCATTAGTCGCGGAACAAGGGCAACGTCTGCTGCAACAGATTTTGCAAAAGTGTCCGAATTGTCGGAATGGAGCGGATGACATCCTGGTCTGGGGCAAGGATACGAGTGAACACAACAGTGCTCTGGAAAAAGTACTGCAAAAGTTGAAGGAGAACAACCTGACCATCTCCCAACACAAAAACGTGTTCCACATAGATGAAGTTGAAAACCATGGATTTATTGTATCCAAAGAGGGCATCAAATCGACAGATGAAAATATCGAAGCCGTGAAGAGGTTCAGACGGCCAGAAACGGTTCAGGAAGTCCGCAGCTTCCTAGGTCTGATCAACTACCTGACCAGGTTCATACCACGACTAGCGACATTGAGTGAACCTCTGAAAAACCTGACGAGAATGAACAGCAAGTGGACCTGGACAGAAAAAGAAGAGTGGTGCTTCAACAAACTGAAGGAGGCCGTCATGAAGAGTGAGGCACTCATGCACTTCAACCCTCAGCTACCAACCACACTAATTGTGGATGTTAGTCCGGTAGGACTATGCCAAAACCACCAAGGGGTACTCAAACCCATCAGTTATGCCTCCCGAACACTGACTCAGGTGGAAAAACGGTATTGTCAGCTGGAGAGGGAAGCCTTAGCCATAGTTTGGGCATGTGAAAAATTTCATCTATATCTTTACGGGAAAGAATTCACCATCATCACCGATCATCGAGTGCTAACGACCATCTTCAGCCCGAAAGGCAAACCATCAGCCCGTATACTCAGGTGGATCCTACGCATGCAACAGTAAGACTTCACGGTCCAACACATCAAAGGAAGTGACAATCCGCAGACATACTGTCTAGACAACCCCTGCCATTCGATGCTCAAATCTCTGAAGAAGAGAAACTGGCAGAGGGATTCATCAACTATGTGGTTGCCAAAGGGATCCCGAAAGCTATGACACTGTCCGAAATTCTTAAAGAATCAGGTGTAAGGGCGGAAACGATCTTCCAGCTGGTTACCGCTGCTAACTCGCTCGTTTGCTGGTGCGGACGCCACTTGGGGCGGTTGGACAGAGGTGAGAACGGCAGCGACTATCTGGGTCATAGGCAGATTCAACCCAGTCGCCATACAGTCACTATCTAGCTACCCAGCTGTTCGTCAAATTCTGGCTGTGATCTCATCATAGGTCCTGGACTTGTGGGCTGTGTCCCCAGACCTTCACCTATCGACTGTCAATTCTCTGGTCATCTACCACTACCATACCACGACCGTCAGTTCATCTCATTCCGTCTGTCCCCCGGTGTTCTGCCATTTCAAGATGTCGCTCGAGTGTGGAGTTTAATGGATGCTTCCCTACCCTGAGTGTGGATCACCGTGTTCCAGAACCTTACCCCAGAGCCACTGCCGTAGGAAATATCTGTTCATTGTTTGATTCTTTCAGTTGTTGACTCCCATTAATTGTTTGATTCTTTCAGTTGTTGACTCCCATTAATTGTTTGATTCTATTAATTGCTGACTCCAATTAATTGTTTGCTCCCTTTAATTGTTTGCTTCCATTAATTGTTTGACTCCATTAACTGTTGACTGCCTTAATTGTTTGACTCCCGTAATTGTTATTTGATGTTTGTTGAGTGGTGTCAGAGTTTTGTGTTATATTTTTATAGTAAAGAGATGTCAATCTCAAACGGTTGTTTGTTATTCCTCAGAAAACCATGGTCCTCGACTTTCCTTTATGAAGATCCTGATTAGCCTGGTAAGGGATTTCTATCCCCAAAGTCCCAGGCCTTTACATCAGGGAAGGATTCGACTATAAGATCCCTCGAAGACGCCATCGCCAAGAATGACTGGACGGATAAACTAACGGAGCCTTTCAAACACGTACGTGCAGAACTGACATCAAAACGGGGACTCGTGTTGAGGGGATCCCGGATCGTAATGCTCCAAACACTACAACGGCTCACGATGCAACTCGCACATGAGACACACCTGGGAATGGTCAAGACCAGGGCGCTACTCCGAGGCAAGGTATGGTGGCCAACTATCAACAAGGACGTGGAGAAGGCATTCAGACAATGCATCCCATGTGCAAGCCTCGACATCAGAAAACAAGCCAATTCGGTGAATATGTCTAAGATGAAGAGGCCGTGGGAGGTAATCCACGTGGACATATGTGGACCGTTCCCTAGTGGTGACTATGTGCTGGGAATCATCGATGCAAGATCCCGGTGGCCAGAAGCCTTTGTGGTCAAAACTATCAACACCGATACCGTTACGACCCTGATCGAAGGATGCATCACTACACACAGCATCCCAGGGGTTATCTTGTCAGATAACGGGCCACAGTTCA